AGTTTAACGTTAGTGATACATCACAGGGCAGATCGTTTACAAATGTTTATGGAATTTAACAAGCCAAGATCGTTATAAGTAACTTATCAGCCACATTTACATTACTAGCTACGTCAGTTTACCAGATAGGTATTATGAAAATCATTTAACAAAACAAAATTGATACCGAAAATAAGAGATAAAATTTCCCTATCCTTAACATATTCTATATTCTTTTTACAACGTTGTGATGACAATTATTTCTACGCTACTGGTTTCAACGTGAAAATGTACAAAATTTTAGCCGGCGCAATTTTTTGTACCTTTCATAATAATAGAGCCATCGAATTTGGAACAAACAATGCAGAAAACAGTCACCATTTTTTTCATTTAACCAACATTCTAACTCTAAAGGATTCCAAGGTCCTAATGCTGGGCAAAATAAGTAAGCCACCCTGTATATACCCATGAAACGTTAAAAAATTGCTAAACTTCACAAAACACGCACTGTAATACTTTTTTTATTAAACCGAAATGGTGCAGCAGAATCTTGTTTATAAGAGTAGGTACCTACATTTTCAGTTGTTCATTCGACTAATAAGTTTCGTGTCAATGAGATTGAAAGAGATTGATGCTTTACGTGTACAAAAAAAGGGTGCCAAGAAGGTGAGACGGTGTATGGTTTTCAGTAGGTACATAGGTACCTAGGTATCGTAAATCTACATATAGTAAGAATTTTTTTGTTAAAATTAATTGTGGAACTTACATGAAAAAAACACGTTTAACTATCTATAGATGAAGTAACGCCGACAGTGTAGAATCTATCCATTATTAAAATGAAGGAACACAATAATGCTTTCAATTGTATATTCTTTTTTTATAGTTTTATCTCTGTAGTATCTATTCCACTTAACAACCGGAAGCAATATTTTAAAGTAATCTCGGTATCTGCTCAATATACTGCGTTATCTAGGCTACTACTATTTGTTTATCATACCGACAAACGTAAGTATGTTACGATTACATAACTATTGATAGGCAGGATACTTATTTTTTTGATATTCAAAGTTATACACCTACATCTGTGCCTACTATTGTATTGCATAATATCAAAACGAGCTCATCTTCGTGGCCTAGTTTCAGTAATTTGTAAGAAATCCTCAGAGAGCCTGGGAAATCTCTTGAAGTTGAAGCCCTCGGAAATCCTGGATATTTACAGGAATTCCTAGCGATATCATTAATGTATACATTTATTTAAAAAATGAGCTCTTATGCACATACGAAGTTTTGAACTTACTCTTTGATAAAAAAAAATGCAAATGCATGTTGTTTATGTTAATTTTAAATCAGGGGTTAAATTAATTTTATTGCTTGATCGAATGATATTGCAAGCAGGATTATTTTCGCCTGAAAGCTCACTGTGTAAATGAATACATTTTTGTATTGATATCACAGAGAAATCCGTTCCTATGTAAGTAGGTACAATGTTTATGCGAGCCTTTCGGTCAATGAGTCTAGCAATAAGAGCAATTCATCTTTAAAAACAAAATTACAGAGCTGTGAAGAAAGATACATATATTATCATTTGAATTGAAACGATTTCATCCGATAAGGTTTTCTTCTTAGACGATTTGATCAGATTACTCTTTCTAATCAGTTAGTTGTAGTCTGGAAAAGTCAAACGAAATTGTTACGTTAGCTCTACATTTGGATCTAGTTTAGTTTGGAGATTTGGTAGTGGAATTGTAAGAATAAAATAACCGAGTATTCGGTGATCCTTTTTTGCATGGATCGGATTAACGATCTAATATGGCCGCCTACGTTAATGAGAAGCCATCTTGTAGGTTTTCTTAAATTAATAAGGAATAGAGGGGATTAGCTTTGGGGAAAACAATTTGATGATTCATGGTTAAGCACGCGTGTGGTCATCAGTGCGGCCAGTTAAATGGCAATATAAAATGTGGATTATGTCGTGTCTGAACCACGGACAGTTTGGCGATAGGTACATATAAAAATAAATATAAAAAGGCGAAGGTCGGTGATTTTCGGTCATAATAGAAAACCCCACCTTAAAATGTGCGAACTATTAAATTGAACGCGAGATTTACAGTAGAATCAATTAATATCTAGATAGGCTTTAAGGAACTTGGTCATTTATTGTACCATAAAGGGAATTATTGTGTAGCCAGAGGACGTTAAAACCAGTTACGTTACCAGGCCGTTAAAACCGTTAAATTGTGAAATACGTGCATATTTATAATGGCATATTGGAGTCGCGTTCAGACAAGGACAGAGTAATTAAACGCGCTGAATTATGTTACGCTACAAACAATTCAGCTGTCTTGCTGTTATTGAAAAAAGGGATTAAAGAGGATTGTTACGTAACTCCGAAATTACCCGCAGTTGGAAAAAAAATATCCGAAAGTTAGAGTGAAAAAACGTCTGGTTTAGTAAACAAATTTCTCTTTTTCCCGGTTTCCTGGCTGCAATCCATGAACAGAAGGATTAACTGTTCTACTAACTACACCCTAGAACTTTTGATTTCGTTGTGTTAGTAAAATTAGTATTAGTAAAGAATCTTAATATCCGGCCATGACTGCGATTTTCATTAGCAGGCGCAGACCAGCTGATGATACTTCAAAACCTTCCCTTCTTTACCTTCACTTGATTCTTGATTTAGACGTTTTGATGTAACTAATTTCAAATGTAAAAGTGGGTTTTTGGTAGTGGTTAACTGCACTTTATCTAGTACTAAAGTTAACCAAAAAGTCAACAAAAAACCGTTTAACGTTTGCTTTGCCTTTTTAAAACATTCTTCGCTTCTACACTTTCGATTTTACTTACTTATTATCTTGTTAACATTAGCCGATCAAATCTACTAGAAAAACGGTTTAATCTAGGTTTAAGAGCAAAAAGATTTAAAAGCAATTCCAAATCTTTTACCAGTTGAAAATTGTGAAAGATTTCGGTCTCTTTTACATCAAGTACATTGAAACTAATTAGACGGACCTTCTCCAGTCCAGAAGGTATCTAAGGTCCTTATTGATACGGCAACTCTTAGACTAAATTTGTATTTGTATTGACTTTAAGTACCAAAACTAGCATCAACACCGAAGTCTGATCGAGCAACAATTGACAAATTAAACAATCAGTCTTGACGGTTAATCTTCTAGTTTATAACTGAGCCCAAGCATCAGCCAATGGGATAACAGCATCCTAGAGCGGGGAAAGTGAACATTCCTCGATACGAATTGTTTGGTTGTTAGAAGATCTCAATGCTCTCACAGATATTTCTTTGGTAAAAGAAGGGGGAATGGGATAGAGACTTGGCTTCTTGAAACACAGTCTTGTGGGCATTTTGAAAAGAATACTTAGCAACCGCGGATTTAGAGTTATAATGACCTTTGTGCTCAGAAATTCGAGTGCTAACTGACCTATCGGTTTGACCGATGTAGACTAAACCACAAGAACAGCGGAATACGGTACACACGTACCTTTGCGAGATAGGGGTTTGAATTTATCTTTAGAGTTGGGTGATCTGAGAGAGAGTAGACGTGTTTCCGAAGAATCCCTCCAATCCGATCAGCGACATAGTGGACATAAGGAAAGAAAGCGATATACCCGGAGACCTCCTCCTCGGTGTTCCCATGTTTTGGGGTTACCTAGGTGCCAATTTATACCCTTGTGTGGATTTCGCTCCTGTGAAAACCACTGTTAACTATAGCGCGTTCGCACCACCAAATGCAGTTAGGGATCTTATGGACTAAAGGCCTCCTTGTTTCTCGCCGTGACGATGCCAAACTGGCATATGATTGAATTAAAGTATTAAAACACAACTTAATCTTATTGTTCTGCCATTGTCACAAGCACCACCATACTGCATATGGTGTACTAAAAAAGCGTGTGCAAGATAAGGATGTGTATCATGGGGTATCGGAAAAAGAATACCAGACCTGTTGGACTAATTTTCTATTTTTCAGATAGTTGTCCGATAGGTATTCTTGACCGATTAGGGCGTTGTACGAGAGTGCACCATTTTGTTGAAACCAACAGTTTCTAGTTTTTGTTTTTTTATGTGCCGTACCTCGTTGTATTTGTTAGTCAAAAATGCTACTCAATACAGTATGTATTTTTTTACGAGTCATATAAAATAAATAACATTGATGATGATTTTTCCGAAACGAAACCATATATTAAAAATCTCTCAAGGCCTCAAGTGGTTTTTAAAATTTTTTTGTATCTGCTCAAATAACATCAGAAAAAATAAAAACAAAATCGGCAAATTTCGGGTTTTCTGGCAAATCTTCGGAAATAATAGGAATTGGCTGGTTTTCTTTGTTTTCTCGTTATCAATAAGGAGATAACGAGATCACGTCCTCAATACACTGTTCTTATTTCTTGTTCTCGTTCTTAAGGCATTTGTTTTATCATAAACTTGCTCAAATATTTGGTTTAGTTTTACATTCTTAATTATTATAGATACATAAAATGTACAGCATCCAGTTCCTTTAGATTATTCCAACAGTTCCAGAAAAATATCCTCGCCCTGTATCATAAATGAGGACGGACTGATCGGCAAACAAAACTCAGACATCGTACGATAGATTGCCTACGTACCAGTCAAGTTTCAAGAATTGCTAGACTTCTCACACAAAGGAATCATCGGTCGGGTCTATGTTTTGTTTGCCGATTTCCAAAACAAGGAATATAGAAGCAAAACTGATACAGCCTAAATTCTAATACATAAATATCGCACTATTTCCACTGGACCTAAAGTTTCTAGTAGGAAATGTTTTCAGTCAGAAACCACTGATCATTTTCATAATTAGAGGTTTCTGTGGAAAAATGACCAAATGCAATATACATATTTAGATCAAGTGAAAACGCACGGACGTATTTTATCATTCTGTGGAAACCTCGTAAACAATGATTAAATTTATGGAGGATATTTAAAAGAATCTATTAATAACTCCATCTGTATTGTGAGAGGTAAGAGAGTGGTCCACTAATTGTTTCTTAAATCTCTTTAATTAATTCATAAATCGAATACTGAAAGTCATTGGCCTGCACTTCATACAATAAGAAAAATCAAAGAAGTAAGTCCATAACATATTGAAAAAGTGAAACTACATATAAGATTTTCTAGCTAGTGTATCATCTCCTCAAAGGGGAAATACTGAAATGACTTTGTAAAGATATCGGTAAACGCTGCGCTAACTATTTCGTCTATCGCATTTCGCATAAATAAAATTCCAACGGGCCACGAGCTATTCACCAACTGAGACAAGGCGTTCGCTAAAACAAAACTGACTTAGATCCATATTTCCCAAAAATTCATATTTTCTTGCTTACCACCTGGACTATCTAGTCCCATTGGATCGCCAAAGTTCATACCAAGGCCTTTAGTACTTTCATACCTAATATCGGCCTCAATTGTAGCGTTGTCGTATGTTAAACTCCCGTTGCTATCCATTCGTGGTCTCCTTGTAAGTGTCGTCGTTTGGACATAGTCGGTTAAAGACAGATTCCACGTTCCGGCGTTATCGAGGTGATTGCCCAAAATGTTGCCTCTAATTTCAAATTCTCCATTGAGTCTCTTGTCTGGAAAAACTTGCCGGTAGACCATTTTATTATTTTTAAGGTCCGTCCTAGAATTTTATCTTAAACGTCCAGCTACGTACATCAAAAAATGTTCAGAAATACTTTAAATGCGTAATTTTAGAGTTGGTCCATCCTGATTCATAAACATTTTTTAATAATAAATTAACGTTAGCGTTGGGCAGGCCCCTTTTAAATTTAACACTTTTTGCGAAAAATGGATCAAACTTGTCCACGCCATATTTTGGTACTCCTGCAGAAAGTGATTTTTGATAAACGGTATAGGCATCTACCTATAAGAAAGCTTACCATCTTTAAACAGTGGGCGCACTTCGTTTAATGCCTTTCTCAAACACTTGTCGAATCTCTCATCTCCTATCCGGCAATCCTTGAAATAAGATTCTGAAATCAAATAGTATTTAACTTTGAAAGAAATGGTAATATGCATTAATGGGTATCCAATAAAGGAAATAAATGAAAGCAAGGAAACAATACTTTTGTCAATTAACGTTAGTGAAATGATGTACCCCATGTGTTCTCTTAAATCTTCATTTCCTTACTATTCACTTTCTATAATCCGCCAGAGACAATTATTTCTGAAAGTATAATTTTTCGGGTTTTATATGAAAACTTGACCGCTGAAAGGCGAGTCATTTTTGGGCTAAGCAGAACACAACGTATAGCTAGGTATAATATCATTGGAAGTGATTGTTTTCGTTTGTAGGAGTAAAAAAGTTTGCAATTCGATTTATAAATGGTCGAGATGCGAAAAGGGCACTGTGAATTTTGAATCGATTCAACTTTTGGCATTGCGTATTATATGGCTAAAGCTATGCCCATATTGAATTTCATGCAATTCAGTTCATAACTAACGGAGATGTAAAAGCAATCGAACATTTCTAAACAAAGTTATCGTTCACACGGACAGATAGATGGACAGACAGACAAAGGAACAGACGGAGAGACCAACCGGCAGGCGACAGAAAGCAATGCAAAATTATAAACGATCTCTAGGATCGTTAATAAACGGCAAAAGTGTAAAATTATGGAACATGTAAAAAACGGTTTTTTGTTTTTTTTACAATAACTTTTTTTGTAAGCGGTACAGAAAAATTCCTTCCTTGGTACAAGACTCGACACCATAACGAACCAAATAGCGAACAAATTAGAACAATAGCTCTTAAGATAAAGAACTAGTAGCGTCGCAAAACGAGCGGACGGACGGACGGACGGACAAAGTGGCCACAATAACGCATTTTTTTTATTTTTGTGGAAATGCGCGAAAAATGATCGGAGCAGGAAATTTGGATTTATTTGCATCAATGCGTTAAGGTTTAAGAATTTTCTCAGTCGTACTGCCCCTAGAATTCTCCTTTAATTTTTAATTATGATGGAGGGCACTACAGACTAAGGTTATTTTGAAAAGTGGAAAATACAAGGATGAGCGCTGATGTGTTGTAGAATGTAGAATCCAGATTTGGATTTGAAGGAATATTACGAAAATTATGAAGACAATGGATAATATGCATATTGCATACTTACGGGAATACAAGAAGAAACTAAAGTAAAAACAATAGAAATAGGAGGTGAAGTTTGTTACAGAAATTCGTCAAAGGAAGAATTTAATTAAAATGAAGTGAGAAATTGAATCTGAGAATTGAGAACTGGTTGACAGAAAAACGTGATGAAATGAATGATAACGAGAGTCAACATTATAGAAGAAAACAATAACACCACTACAAAAAAACTGAAAGGGATATCAAAAGTAAGAAATTGGAGGGATAAGGGAAAAATAATGAAGTTGAATTGAAGAAAAAAACTGAACGCCAAAAAGATTCGCACACAATTTATTAAGAGAGATAAAGAAGAAGAGAGATATTCAAACAGGGTTTGACTGCGAATCTAGAAAAAGCTAGAACAAAAACGAGAAAGTGTTGGGTAAGACAAAGAAAAATTAAGGAGGGCGAAAAAAAACAAAAGTCCTGCCGGATAAACGGCTGCGGTCAAAGGGCGGCGTCCAAAAGTCAATAATAGGAGTGATTTAGAATGATTATGGTTATCTTCTGTTTAAAGTTTAGGGGGATGCTGTGTTTGTTAGCTCAAAAATTTCAAACAAACATTATCCATAAAACCTGTATCAAAATTTCTCCACTTTAAATTTTTGAACAAAGCAAACTAAACAATGATCGTACTTGTAAACCCTTTACGCAAACATAATCAGAAAACGCCTAGAACGAAGTGTAAAGGTCTTATAAAAGAATAAAATATCTAACCATGTGCTCGTTGGAAAAAGTTAATCGCAACTATCACGGTACTAATTATTAACGGATTGAAGATTCTAGTTTTCATTTAAGCTTTTTAAGACTTTTCAAGAATTTCAGAAATGACTAATAAATCACAAATTTTAAAATAATGAATAACATCGAGCTTATTTTACGCAAGGACCGGATAGAAGGCACTTTTAATTCTCAGAACAAGTTTGATTAAATGATTAATTATTTTTATTGGTGGGTTTATAATAACTTAATTTTCTTTTATAGCCATGGATTTTTTGGTTGTATGAAGGTTATCCGTCTTTACCTTGCAACTGCCAATTAATACAAAATATCGGGGTTTAAAAACTGGGTTAACCAAGATATCCTAGGACATTGCAAAAACATTTCGTGAGTATAGGTAATTATTACGCAATGCGTAAATATCACATAACATATAAAATGGAATAGAGTTATTAGAAAGGTGCTACGTTCGTGTCCACTAAATAACTACAACTAACAATTTGTAATGACTTTTAGCCTACTTCTACACTTACCCAACTCTTGCGCGCAAGTTGCTGCAACAAGCCACAAAATCATAAACCCACATTGCACCAATACTGATAGGGCCATTGGAATTAGTAAAGATCAGAATCTTAAATTTAATTGATTGAAGCGACGAGTCTGTACCTAACTTAAACCTGTATGAGGATTCTGAAATAATGAAAGTGAGAAATTGTGGTACCCCACTATATATTGCTCTTTCATTTATTTATTTCGGAGTTATTTAAGTGTACCGCTGAGTTAATAAAATTGTACATATATACTGTAAGGAAATGTTTAATTACTTTGCATTAGCATTACTATTATTTTCACTTTCGTCTTTTTCCATTAAAGCCTATGTCTGGTGCCACAATTTAAGTAACCAAAAATTGTTTTTTATGTTCTTTACTTTATTAAGTACCTATATGCGAGGATTAAGTAATGCAGAACTTTCACTGTTTCACTCGATCAAAATTCTGCCTCACGCATTCTTTATGTTTATAGATACTAAAAGGCACATGTGTAATCATTGACAGATTTCCTTATTATAATCAACTGCCACATTTTCGTTTTACAACACCGTATAAATTTGCCAATTCGCAGTGTCTGAATTTTTCCTATGTCTTTAATTAGCGTAAGCGGAAGATTTCTTCTCTTGGAAATGTCGAGCTCCGCAGTTTCGAGGGTCGGTCATATGAGAACCACACTGTACCTATTTGGCCGGGCATAATTTTCCTTTCAAATTTTATTGGAATTCTTGACTGTCCTTAGAGGTGCCTTATAGGAATCTTATATTAGCATTAAAATTTTCAGAAACCTTGTTATTTGTTTGGAAACATGTGTAAAATATTCATGGTGATTTCTTTCCTTTTCGAATGGAAACATTAAAAAATGTGTTATTTTGTTAAAACATTAATTTCTACGTAAAAACAGTTTTGATTTGTCTTTTATAATAAGAAACTACGGCTATCTTAGATCTGCAAAGTCCCAATGCTGTGCACGGAAAAGTAAACCACCCTCCATCCATATTAATTCGACGGGTAGGTATATACGTACTTTGTTTCACTGGTGTTGAATATTTCATCACACTATCTGACGGCATAGCAAAATCAAGGCAGGTCATAAATTAGTGGGCATATTGACATTTAAACTGATTTAAGATCCACTCAAACCTGCGGGCAAAAAAGGAAATGTAGTAAACCGGATAGGCGCCACTTAGTCTTTAGTACATTTCAAAAGAGGGTAGAGAATATTTAACGAAGGAGAATGAGGCAGTAGAACATAAACAATAATTGATGTCACAATCGAGGGTGAATTAATAAATGATCTCAAAATATTACAAATACGATAAACTAATATCTAGATCTGCCGGCCCGTGTGGTGCAGTTCAGTTAAAGCTGGACTGTGGTGCTAAGGGTCCCTGGTTCGAATCCGGGTTCGAGCATGGATATTTGTAAATGTATAGTGGGTTGGGTTGGTAGAACAGCCTTGGCTGAAACCCCGCTCACTCAAAAATAAAGGCAAAATAAATAAATAAAATAAATAAATTGTCAACGTTTACATTTAACATAAAATTTAGCACAAGATAGGGAAATTCTAACTATAATTGTTAAATAACTATTCAAACAAATATAGTAATTACAAATAGAGTGTATCGAAAACCAATACGTAATCAAGGTTATATCAAGGAATCTTCGGTTAACTTTGAACTCGTAACGGATTTTCCGAGCTTACAAGGACGCTTTTCTGCGTCATCCGTAACAGATAAAAACAAACAAAAAACAAGAGGGATAGTGACTAGTGCGGGGCACATAAATATTGCGATAGCAATGTCTAACGTTCGACATTCGGATACTGGTATACTAAAACCGTAATTAAAACTTAATAAAAATCAATAACACAACTTACGTTAACTAAACTAAAGCAAAATTTTGATCAACAACGAATCGTCCGTACAAATGATATATAAAAAGCATAAACGTGACGGTAACAAAGGAGAAGTAGGCAACACACAATACACGCATGACTTGTGTTGCGTACTCCGCAATACAATATTATATATACTCGATGCAACATGGCCGCCGATGTCAAAAACCGATCAAAAATTAGACACTATATGGTCGCCACTATCTGAATAAGGTCACTGTAACCACGGAAACATCTGACAACCTCTAGCGGCGAAAATCAAGAACTATTGAAATGAAACCTATTTAACACTAACTACATCTAAATTAAACGTAATTACAGAAGAAATACATGGATGGCGTAAGAATGTCACTGAAATGAAAGTAAGAATCGAAGGTTATATAAACATGGAATTTAAATTTAAAAAAAAACACATTACAACTTCAAAATAAATCCTTGCTCATTTTCTGTGTATAGGTTACAGCTTTGAGGCACTTTCGACTTGCCTAAGCGTTTATAACTTTGATATTCACTTGACTTTCAAACACGAACTAATCAAATAGTTGTCTACATAAAAATCAAGAAAATGACACATTACTGGCGAGCAAATATTGAAGTGTGAGGCCCTTTGGGGCCGAGTACTTTAAGTTCCGAGTCAAGTAATGTCATTTTACGGACAAGTTTTGTATGAAATTTTACCTGAAATCGTATTTTAATATAACATTTCAATTTGTACCTATATAAAACATTTGATTAATGTCAATCTGTTAGTGATGGCAGGAGTAATTATAGACATTAGAAATGTCAAAAATGCGGCCGGTAAAGTGACGGCGTGGCCGGTAAAGTGACAGGTGCGACCAGTAAGGTAACAAGCGGCAGGAAACGTAGTCTGCTCTGCCTCTGTCATGGAAACTCAAATTTCCTGACAGAAAGTAGGCATGAAAATGATTTTGAATCGTCTTTTCGAACAAATCAAACCTTTCTTCGAGCATGGCACTCAAGCTGAAGCTATTACCGAAGCTGGCCTACGATTTTTGACAATTTTATTCTTCTCGGTGGAGCCGGTTTCAAAATTTGATCTTCACTTCGTGCCTATCTCCAAGGAACCAGACAGAATAATTCATTAAATGTTAATAGCGAAACGATTCTTCGAAAAGATATTTATTTCTATGCCATAGATGCATTTTTTGCTTTGCCATTTCTTATAACGAACTATCAGCACCCTACTTGAACTGAAGGTATTTAAGACTAAGCGATTTTTACATGATGAACACTACGTAGTTTTCAAATGGCGACCAATAGCGAACCTTATGCAAAACTTTCTATTAAATTTGTTTTTAAATTAAATTTATTTATTTTATTTTAGGGCCATCTCGTAGCCTGGTGCGTTTTTGTACAGGGCTATCAAGAAACAACCAGAGGTTGCTCGTGGACATACTTTCTGGTCACCATCTTGATGTTATACAGACGATCAGACGGCACACCCCATACTTTGTGAATGTCCCGCTCTAGTTTAACTGAGATGATCCGTGTTGGCAGTATCCTGGCCGGATAGGGCTACGATTAGAGCCGCCTCCTCTTCCAGCATCCTTAGGTATATCTCAGGTGTGCGATGGTTTGAGTGACGTGGAGGGCTCGAATGAGGCAGTACAAAAAGCCCGAATTTGAGGCCAGGGTACAAGTGGCTCCCATCCACCCTCCTAGCGTAATCTAGAATTCAAACCAAACAAAATGGAAATTATTGCCCCTTCAGCTGCTTTCTGCACGGACCGGCTATAGACTTCTCAGAGATGGTTACTTCGATGCGGAATTCAAATTTGCTCTCCGCTGCTTTTTTCACGGAGCGTTACAGAATATCTTGGCGTGTTACCGATGGACCAGAAGGGGTTGTGACACCCCTATTAGCTACAGTGCCAAACGCTACTGAGTCGACTGCACTGCATCCATAAACAGCACCGGTTGGATTTGAACCTCAACGCAAAAAAAACCGCCGCTTTGAGAAAAAAAGACGGGACTCCAATAAATTAACATGCGTTGTAGTTATGATTTTATATTTTAAAATTAAGATTGATAGTTCTTTACATGCCACAATTATGTAACACGATTATCCAAAGAGTTGACTCATATTCCAAATTGTTGCAATCACTTACTCACTTATACAATTATACATAAGTTAAAAACAGATTACATTAAGAAATTAAAAAAAAATGTCATTAATATGAATTCGATAGGAAAGTGATGCTGATTGACCTAACTCAGTATTTATAGTTCTGCATCCTCACTTTATATATTTATAACAATTTAGTACAGAATTTACATTACATTATTTTGTAGTATAAGTAGGTATGTTTCATTTCGGTTACACATACATTATGTTTGTTTATATATTATATATATATATATATATATATATATATACATATATATATATATATGTATATATTATGTGTTTCTATTTATATACCACGTTAATGATATTGTATAAGACCAAATTTAATTTACATCTTTCTTGCGTTACTCAACCTTTTGGTTTTAATCAGTTTCGTATGTTTATTCTATGCCTAATTATTGATTTTTATGTATGATATCAATAAACATTATTAATATTATTATTACCTATTTAACTTTCTTATTCGACGTTCCGGTCAATCTGCAGTGGTTTAGTCACCTCTCACGACACCCAGTGCCCTCTGCGATTGGGTTATTGTTTCTTGGCTCTGCATAGGTAAATGAAACCGTAAGGTCGAAACCACAAAATAATATTTATTTACCTACCAAAATTCGTGAATAATAGAGCAATAATGGGAAATATAGTTTAGCAAATCCTACAATATTTGGCTTTTGTACTAATTAGCTGAAACCACTGTGTTATTGACTAGTGATTAAACCTTCACATTATTTTGTGCTTTTAATTCGGCCTGAACGGTTATCTCATTAGTAAACCGTTCGACTTCGAAACCGTAAAAATAGGTAGGTACATCCAGAAAATGTGGTTCGATTAGCTTACGTATGCACCATAATTCGTATTTTTTGCAGTTGGCCCAGTAGAGAAAATTACCTCGTTAACATAAACATATTACACATATCAGTGCAAGAATACTTAAGAAAAACCATATGCGAAACGATTCGAAAGTGACCAATATTTGGGTGGTCACGCAGGACGTTAAAATTGAATGCGTCGACGAACGAGGTTTCCATCTCCGAAGTGTGGTAAAAATGAGAAAAATTTCTCATTATTAAAATTAGGTAAGCGTTTTGGCATTCGCACATTCTCCAATTGTAAAATTAGGTTTGTAAATAAAGATTAGTAAATAGTAATATATTAGCACCTTATTAATAATAGGTACGTACAACCTCCAAGTATAGAACAGGATAAGTCTAAGTGCTTCCACGTAGGTCTTTCAGAGAGCTTTAAAAAAATGTGTAATGAAATTGCATTAAGCTTGAAGGTCAATCTACTTAACAGGTGAGTTAATAAGTGCCTACTTCGTTTTATCATCATTCCTTAAGGTAAAGTATGTACGTACAAAAGTCCCACCCGACTGTAATTAATCGTTAACAATTCAAGAATACATACCTACGTCTCAGTAGTATAGAAGATAATTGTTTTGAAATAAAATTAGTGGCATATGAATATAATGATGTAAATATCTCATTAGACACATCCGTTACAAATTTCACTAGCTGCAATAATGGGGAGCTATTATATCTTCGTATTTTTGCATTGTTTTTTATTTAACTACACACATTAAGTAAAGTTAGTAGTGAAAGTGAATCAAAGAATTGATCTTTGCCTCATTTGCCATATAGTCATCAAATGGTCAACATCAGACAGTATATTTCATAAATATTACCTGTACCTGTGCGTGGGCATTTCTAAATGATGTCTTTTACAGTCATTGTGACCTTTGGTTTATGTTTAAGTTTCGGCTTTGGAACCGCTATAGATCCAAATGTGATACGTAAGTAGTGAATACTATTTTACTCCTCAAACGCAACCCAAATCTTCTTACGAGTCCTTTCGGACCTAGCTTTCTCTTATTTAGGTTGAAGAGTGCATTTACAAACTGCATTCTGCAATGTAACGCTTTAGAAAGTATTTAAGGCCATTGACTTCGATTATTACTTTTGTTTGATACATGATTTGGGGTTAATGTCAACAGTCTGTATTAACAAACATTGAAAAGTTGTTCTACAGTAATTATTCCGTGTAACGCCCAAACATTCCAAAAGTACCTTAACATATTTAGTATAGGTACTCTCTAGGATTCTTCCCAAATCCAGACCAAAATGTTTTAACCCTTATAATAAAGGGTAACTGTAGAGACGGTAATTTATAAACACCTCAAAATTTTCAAAAGTCTAGCTGTAGGGGCAAAATTTCAAAGTTTGTTGCAAAAAAAAAGTAGTTTACCTTCACATGCCAATCGTCACATTTTGCATCTGTGTGCCTCTGGCAATTCCCAGTTTATTATTCACTTCTCTATTTTTGTGATATTGGCCGCGATATTTCAGGGGAAAATGGGAACGTGTATTTATAAGGAAAAATGTCTGGGTGTCGATATCGAGATTTTTATCCAAACGTCAAAATATTAGAATTAGGTCATTGTTTGACATTATGCGACAGTAGATTTTCCTTTTCCTGTCTCTGCCGGAAAAATGTTGCCATAGAAACACAACAATTTAATTTTCACGGAATAATATACTTAGTAATTTATACAAGACGGTAAAGGGATATTTTAACCATTAAGTGAATTAACTTTCACAAGATGGTTTCCCTTTATCGTCGTGCCGTGAAGCCATAATAAATCATTTTAAAGCTTCTGATAATTTAGAATTTAATCTAGAAGTCAAAAATAGCAAGCTTAGATTCTGCCGTCGCGGTCGTTTCTATAGAAACAGCAATGCATGTATTTTGTTCTGAACATCACTTTATTTCGTGCTCCGCGGCCTACTTGAAAAAAGAATGTCAGATGTCATTAGAATGCACAATCATTTGTTTCACTTTACCTACCTTTCCGGTTAAAGTGATCACTTTTTCTACCCTTACGGTTAAAGGGCGATTTGGTCTACTCAATGAAACCTATTAAAATGTCAATTTAACATCTGCTATGAAATAAAAAAAATTATTCTAGGCCTCCTCATAAAATAATCTACTATTATTTGGTAAGAGCGAAAATAATCCATTTTGCTGCAATACTACGAAATTCGGGTATATGGTACGTGTCTAATTGACACTAAGTTTTCAAAGTCTCAATTCTAATATTTTGGTTTAGGGGGTGCAACGTCTGAAGAATAAAGCAATCAAGAAACATACTTGCAAAATGCATAATTAAAAAGTCAAATAAAGTATTGCTGTGTGCATTGGCCCGTAGGCTAGAAAGACCGTACTCTTTACCTTTGCTTATTAACACGGCACAAAACTTCTCCCCAGTACAGAGGAGAGATTCGACTCTGCTCTCAGTTAACCTGTTAACTTCTAACAGATAGTGGTTCAGACCAAATACCTTAAACTCCAAACTGAACTGCAAAATATTGAATAATTAAAATGGACCTTGGGTAAGCATTGAATAAAAACATAGGTAAATTAGAAAAAAACGTCGGAGATTGATGTGAAAATTGCATAAGTGCGATTTAATCTAACACACAAAAGGAAAATGGTACATAAACACAAACAATTATTACAAATAGACTAAAAGGACGTTCCAATAAAAAAAACTCAATTTCAAACTGAATCACGTTGAAAACACACTAGGGGCGCCGACAAACACCTCTCCTTGCAGCAACTCTGATGGCCAAAACTTCAAAACGTAACGTAACAAAAACTAGCCGCGATTTCAGCTTCGGGCTTCATGAACGAAACTTCTTCTATCTTCAATCTCACATTGGACGAAAACTGTCAATGCTGGCTGTGGCTTCAAATGAATACTAACTACCCGTACTATGGCCCTAAACTTGGCATAAAGTTGATTTTAAATTTCAATGAAACGTAGTTATTCGTTGACTGTGGCTAAAACGCCGCTTTTCTTGTTGACGTCCTATTTAATGCGAAACCCTTCTTCCGAAAATCTAAATTATAACAACCAATCATACACAGTTTACAACAAAAACTACCCCCTCAACCTCAACGTACGTTAATAGACCAAAAAATAAAGGTCGATTAATTTTTATAAATCAATTTGTTATCAGACATTAAGAGATAAATCCTAACTTAAATTCTAGGAAAAATAAAATTTCATCTCACTTAACTATACAGAAAAGACGATAAATTACATCTATCTGTCAATTAAATTAAGCATTTACATTTGATAACAAGCGCTAGAGGGCATTTTCTAAATGTTCTAAATGTTATGATCCGAGATAATTGCAATGACACTATTAAAAGTAGTCGGAAAGTCAAGTCAGGAGTTCACCTGACAATTAGTTGTAAATGGTATGGATATTATAATTGTTCTTGCAGTAGCCCTTGTGCTCGTGTTAGGATTGACGTCTATTTTCATTAGAACTTTTACCTCAAAGTCCATATCTCTGTTATGCCACTGCGTATACTTACCATTACGGTAATTCAGATGAGTGACTACACACAGTTAAATACATCCAAACTTTTTCTTAGATTTTGTTCTTTGGAATCCAATACAACAACAAAAGGCGTTTCAGTCTATTTAAAATTTTTTACTTAAATGAATGATTGAGTCCCCAAAAAGGGCCACTTCTGGGCCTCAAATTTCCACCAAACTTTTGCATTAATCTCGATTTCCGAGTAATTTCTTTTGGCATGGTTGATTTTTCACACACGGGCCAAAAAGTTTTGGTTTTTGCACCATATTTTATACTTATACCATTTTACATATATCTTTTTGAATTTGGGAGGCTGTAGTTTTTTCATAGCTTGATCTTCAAATCGATATACACAAATCTCAATAGCCGAAAATACCCGAAAGACAATAACTGCAACTGTATTAAATTTTTTTCAGCTCCATATGTGAAGCAATGCAAAGAAGCCGACCCAAATCTCCTTAATTGTTTAATAGACGCAGTACACTACCTAAGACCTTACTTAAAAACGGGTATAGAAGAAATAGAACTACCATCAGTCGAACCCTTTCAAATGGACGAGCTTAGCTTGTCACTAACATCAGGGCCAAATGGATACAAAGTTTCCCTCAAGAGCATCGACATTTTTGGCGCAAGTAATTACACCGTTGAAAAAATTAAGTATGTGTTAACCGCTTTATACTTTCTTTACTAAGTGTCGATATACAGATTGAGTGAAAATGGCAAACCGTTCGAAGCAACTATAAAGATACCAGAATTGCGAATTGGTGCCAGATACACCAGCAGTGGCGTACTAATCATCTTACCAGCTAGCGGAAATGGAACCTTCCACGCCAACTTTGGTGACTTTGGTTTCAATCTTCGCATTTTATGCATTGTGCACTTTTAGGTGATATCACCGGAAAAGTTCAAGGACAAGTCAGTGTCAATCGAAAGGATGGTTTGGATTATTTGAACGTTGACACCCTAAGTTTGGACCTCGATGTGGCAGACGTACGGATGGGTGTAAGGAAAGTGTTTAAGAATAATCCCATATTGAGTAAGTATATACCTATATAGCTTGATTTCACTCGAGTTAATTCGTTCTTTTACAGCTCAAGCGATCAATCTGTTTCTACGGGAAAACGGTCAAGAGGTCCTAAAGGCGATGTCGCCCCAATTAAGGAAGAAATTATCGACGGTCTTCCAAAGCATTGCAAATCAGCTACTCACGCATATACCTCTGAAAACTTTTTTAGTTCCTCGTACCTCGGTTTAACACCTCTTGACTTGTAGGGATAGTTATGACCATATTGGTTAGGACTAACTACTAGGTTTTTATTGAGTTCTATTCAGAGGATTCACGTTACTCGATAGAGACATTCCAAATTATAATTTTCCTAGTCATTGTTTAGAGGTATCGTTCGTCTCATACTTTTGCGTTTATTCAAAGTTGTCCCATAATATTCTCAAATAACATGAAGAATAAAAAGTAATCATTAGTGAAATGCTTCACGGGCTCATTCACATTTGAATATAACTTTCCTCATATCATTTTTTTATTGCACTCTATTATAAGTGTATTGCTTTTTGAATGAACCCAAAAGGTTTAGACGGATTAAAATAAACTAAAAAAAGACGGTTTTCTAGTGATTTAGTAATATATTAAAGTACATAATTATAGGTACTACGTCGATAACTTGGAATTTGATTAGATATAAATAATCGTGAAAAATAGTCTCCTTAATTGTATTTTTTTATGTTATTGTCAAAAAGAGTAGTTCAAGAAGGCACCCTTAAAGTATTAACAAATCTTTTTCGTATTATTTTAATCATTTGCAACCTGGAATTAAGTGTACCGTAACGCAAAATGGGTAAGCAAGGTAGTATAGTAGCAGACAACCCTAATCTGCTTAACATCAGCACTCATAACGGAGGATTACAGACTTCTGAGACAACAGTCCATCATTACCTGACCAGAAGTAGTCGTAGAATGATAATGATAAATGAATATCGATTGCGTGGGTCTGATTTCAGTAGATATCTAACTATTGTGTTACACCTTTGACTTTATGGATTTCTACAATGCAATGAATTGAATGTAGTTAACAGTAGTTTCTTATAAGGAAATCCAACCCCTTTTTATAGCGCATTTTTGCAAAAATTTTTTTTTGTAAAAAGTAGCTTTTAATCTCACTTTGGCTGGCTGGCTGGCTGGCTGGCTGGCTGGCAGTAAATGCGCGCCCGTAGAAAAACGCTTGTAAAAAGACAAGGAGTGTACATGTAACTATCGGGGCCGTGTAATTAAGAACGTTAGGGATGGGGCTACAAGATTTGGAGTCGACGACATCTGGACGCCATCCCCGAGCGTATTATACTAACCTGGAGATTTTTCAGTTTTTATCTATCTTCTTCTACAGTTTTTCTCCGATTGTTTTCAAATTGGTGTCGTCGGGAAGATCTTGTCAACGCGCACAACTCCTGCGTGGCGGAATTTTGTTTTTTTTTCCTAGGGGCGAAATAAACCACCTTTTGCGCGGCGCGCTTCGAGGGGTAGTCGACTTTGGGCGCCCAAAAGTTTCTTACAGCGCGAATCGCGGTTTCTCTTTCTCGTGTCACTAATAGAAGGTCGAGCTATGTGAAGTACCCAAAAGTTGAATACGATTTTATGCCGGGATTTTAGCGAAATCTACCAAAATGTGAATTACGAATGAACGGGACGTCGGAACTGTGTATCGACAAAGGGAATGTGGTAACCCCCGACGAGATCTTACTGATGGTGGAGTCGAAACTTCAAATCCGAATTGTTGCGGGTGATCAGAAGTGGGTGTCGACAAAGGGAATATGGTAACCCCCAAAGGATTTTACTGATGGTGGAGTCAAAACTTCAAACGCGAATTGCAAGTGCACGGTAAGTGAGAAAATGGTACCGACAAAGTGAACGTGGTAGCTTTCGGCAAGATCTTATTGATGGTGGAGTCAATATTGGCTAATAAAACACTGATCTGCCACACAAAAATGCGCTGAAGTCCCTTCGATCTCACACGAGGACTTTGATCATTTTTTTATTTGGACATCATTTTTATGATGCCTTAATTCAATGCTTGTCTTTAGGAGTTCAGTGGTATACATTTCGGTATGAGAATTATAAATGAATCTGATACTTCTCCATCTAAGGATTGTTATAAACGAGCAGTAGGTATCAAGAATAAGTGTTTTTCTATCCCAATTTAAGCATATTCTTTATTTTTCAAAAATGTTTGAAAATTAGGCAGCGAACCGAGTTAATTGGAGATACAGCCATTTAATGATTCTTTGAAAAAATGCACCTTCATGATGATGGTCTATTTTTTAGGTACAACCACAGATAAATATACTCATTTTATACCATTCCAAAGCTTCATTTTTCATTCCATTCCATCCACGAATCATTTTTTTTTATCGTCGAAAGTCTTGAAGTGTTGCTCAGCCAGTGTCTGTCCCATCGATGAGAAGAGGTGAAAATCAGAAGACGCCAGGTCTGCTGAATACGGCGGATGGGGTACAATAAGTTCCCAGAATGTGCATGAGCGTTGCCATGAAGCACAATGGCCTTACCCTGTCTTACAGTCCATCCGGGGGCGTTTTTCGATCAATGCGTGGTTCAAATCGCGGAAGCAGACGGTAATAATTGTTTCGCCGGATTGGAGAAGCTTGTACTTCTGATCCCACCACGCACACAACATAATCCTCCAAAAGCGATCCGGTCTTGCATTTTTTGTGTTTGGCATTCTGAAAACACCAATTCTTCATCGCCAGTTACAACCCGAAGCCAGAAACTTTTTCTTTGGTGACGTAAATGCATCATTTCGCACACAGTTTTTCGCTTTTCCATCCGTTGTTCGTTCAGTTGGTGTGTCCAACCTTTTTAATCTTTCCCATAGGCCTCAGGCGATGGGAAATGGCTTGCCGAGTAACATTGAAATCCCGCGCTACCATTTGTTGCGTTTGTGTAGCGTCTTCGTCCAATAATGCTTATAACTCGCCATCTGTAAACTTCTTTGATCGATACCCCTCACGACTATGTGGAATGACGTTTACAGCAACACGTTTATTTAGTTACTATTAATTAAACTTACTTAAGTGGCCGGATTGAAATGTCTAAAATCACATAAACCACCCCCCCCCCAAGTTGATTAACATATCATATGAAGAATATTTAGTGGTAGGAGAGAGTAGAAGAATTATTTGTAACATCCGTTACACCGTGGGGGCTAAAAGCGACCCCGCAAGCGATCTAAAAAAATTTGCAGTTTTAGATTTCGAAATTTGTACCCAAAAAGCAACCATATCTATCTTTACTTGTTGGACTTGGACTTTAACTTCGTTTGACGTTCGGCAGTGTAGAAGTGATATTTTTGGGGTTTAGTGAGTTTACATGCATCCTAATTAAGCCTACTTATGTCAGTCTCTGTAACGGAAGGCCTATTGCATCGTTTAGACTTTCGACTAAGAACTACCGTGGAAAATTGTAGGTGAAGTGATAGCGGGGAAAGATTAACGATGGGGTAACCTCTGTATCTTTACTCTTTAGTATCAATAGCTAATTGCTAGAGCAGTTAGAAAAAAAGCGAAAAATATGAACCTCAAAATATACAATTGTAACAAACTGCTAGTTCCAAACACATGTTAATGATCTTTAGGCTAACTCGTGCCACAACAGCTCCTTTATAAGTAATCTGCATAGCAAACCCGTCCTAGAGAACGCCAGGCGAATGGTAACCCCTTGATTTACTAGCAGCCCGCAACAAGAACCCGCGCACCTGCCGCGGCCGTAGGAAAACAAGATCAAGTTTTCAGTACGATAATAAGTACAGACGCTTCCGTGGGTGGCTTATTGGAATTCAGTACATGTTCTTTGTATTTGTTTTAATCACGTTTTGACATTATATTATCACAGATAAATCTGGGATATTATTATGTGCCAAGCATTAGCCACCAAGAAACAATTATTGCAGTAGTTTGTACATACGTCTGTGTAAGTGTGTACTGTGTATCTTCCGAAACCTCACATAAAATTGTCCTATGCGGAAAAGAGAGTTTTCCAATATGTGGGGCCCAACCTCAAGGCCCGAAGGATCACAATCACGAAGAACAGAGTACAGGCATGAAGGGAAATGCCGGAAGGAAACCCGCCGCTTACCTCCTCAATGAACGAACTGCAACAACTAATCACGTAGTTATGCACCTACCACCAAGGCTCGTTCTCCAAGAGCCAGATACGATTCGCAGGGGGTAACAAGGACATTAATGCGTTTGTGGACGCAATACAAACTGGACTGCGAGGGCATTAGTGAAGAGAATGCGTTGCAAGGCTTATCCATGCTACTACACGGAAGGTATCTGTTCGTCGCCGAACGACGGGGCTTCGTCCAATACCGCCGCTACGAACTCCAGCGGTCGATCAGTCAATCAACGAATCAAAACAACGTTACTCATACAGCCGCAACAGTAGACACACAAGGGAAGAGTATCGCAAGCGCAGGGGGCGGAAATCCACCACCTCTACCGCACCTACACCTATAAGGTCCACGAAACCTACTACGAAACCCCTACGAATCAGCTGCTACCGTTGCGAAGAACCAGGAGTTATTCACAGCAACTAATTGAAATCCACCTTCCAAAGCACCAGTAGGAGCGCATACACGAAGCTATTATTAGGCGTCGACTTCGTCCAGAATGCTACTCAACCCCAAAAAACGTGCTCATTCATGCATGAACAATCTATGGAATACGGGCGCGACACCAATGCGACACATCAAAAGCTATAAGCAGCTATTTGGAACAGAGAGGTAACCGCAATGTTAGTGCAAAATGACGACGGTACGCGAAATCCCTTGCCCTCGTATGGATCGTGGAGAAGGAGTACCTACGACACTGACTACCGACCACCAACCCCTCAAGTGGCTGATGCCTATCAAAACACCCTTCACCCGTTCAACCTGACCCTGCCGGTACATCCAGGGAAAACCAACGTGGTGGCCGACACGTTATCGCGCCCACCATGTCTGCCTCATGTGACATGACAAATAACAATCCCGAACTCCGCAAGGTCATCGATTGTTTCGAAACACCCTCTGTCAGCTCCGTTGACTAGAACCAAGGGGTGACGCCCCCGACGCCCAACTTCACGCATCAGAAAGACAGCGTATTCTCCAAAACTACCACGATTCTCTAACAACAGGGCGCTTTGGTGGTGACCGCATTGCCAGTCGATATTCCTGGGTGGGTGGGACGAGAAAATGTGTATCCCACTACATCCGAACTTGTCCCGAGTGCCAGAAATTTAACGCGTCTAACCTAACATCGGCATAAGGACTACTGCAACCAGAGGTCAGTAGGACCAATACCTTAACTCAAATTTTCAATGCCGCCAGCAGCTGTTAACTAGGTGTTTTGAGGTTACTCCCATCCAAATACTTCTATAACTGCCCAAAAGGCACAATTAACTTTTTTTTAAACCCCAATTTTTTCCCGAAACGTATTTTTAGGCCGGAGGGTCTAAAAATGGAGACTCGGAGGTCTCAACGAACGTATTATGTTGGTGGAATAAAACTTTCAGGTGTGAATAGATCGATAACGAAGTGTCAGAATTCGGCGTTCGAAATTGTTGATGTGTTTTTTTTAGTGGTATTGAAGTGCACAATGTTTTATCCCTCAGGTTTTGAACATCCCTAAAATGTTAAATGGTACGATAGGGAAGTAATTTTAAAGGGCGGACATGCGCAGATAAATTTTTTTTATTTGAGGGTAGATTTTCCTGGAGCATTTTTAGGCTAAGAAGGTTTATAGTTTGTGGTTTTGAGGGGAACCAGTGAAATTGTTAAAGTTTGTGAGCCTTAAATTTTCCAAAGCTTCTCAAGATTATCGAATGTTTTAAGTTTCCTTCTCTCTTGCATTTTGTCTCGTGTGCCTATAAATATATTTTCTCATAAGTCAGTTTTTACGGGAATTTTTACGAGTTCAAGGATTAGTGCTAGGTATCGAATATGAGCCGGATTATAATTCTATTCTCCAAATGGGAGCCGAGTGTCAAAAAATTCTGAAAATCGTATGGGATTCTTCGTATATTTTTGGGTCCTTTGGAATAAATTAAGCCTTCAAAATCACTCCCCTCACACCCTTACTTTGTGCTTTTCAGGATCGTAATCCAACGTCTATTCCCGCATAGCGTCTCGAATTTTGAGAACCGTTCTTCATAAATGGTCAATTTCTAATGTCGAATTTTCCTCCTCATGCGCTTCGAAGGAAAAACCCGGTGCGGATTTTGCGTTTTAGGAAAGTACATGGATGGTTTTGTCCGTCTGTCTGCCCATCTGATCCTCGTCTAACTCGAGAACAATATGAGGCAGTTCAAGGATCAGTTCTATTGTATATCAGCCGGATGAAAAGTGTGGTTTCCGAATGCGAGCTGAGTCGCCAAAAATTCCCCTATACCGATAATCGTATGCAATTCTTCATATGTATCTTGTTTGAATTGAATGTAGGGGCAAAAATTCCAATACTGTGCGCGGTACGATAGGTAAACTGTTTTGTATATCAAGGGTATAAAGTCCCTCTCCAGTTTGTGGTCCTCCCTCTCCGGCCACATACACCCTCGCAATTATAACATGCATTGTATTCCCTTTGTACTCAAAAGGGGCGATCAAGATAGATAGATAGGATTGTTGTGGGGCCATTATTACTAAAAATCTAAAAATATGTACCTATAGCCCATACAGTTTAGCAAAGTATTGCAATTATCTTCGCCTCCTACCAAAGGATTATATTTTTAATTTTTTTACGTTTCAGGTAGCATCCCTATCAATAGTAACGTTTGCTATGATGCACAACTTTCTTCTGGACGTTTAAAGTACACGCACCTTCTCTGCACAGCTCTTCTCGGAAACAGGTTAAATACACTTCTGTATGTAGAAGCCCCACCAGGAACGTCAAAGTCACGGTCAATGCCACAAGAAGTAAGTTCATCAGTACTAAGTGGAAGAAAGCGTTAAACATACCTTCCAACATTACCATAACATGAATAACCGTGTATTTTTACTGTGTGTGATATTTGGAACAGTAACTAGTGCAATTGCCCAAAATTGTAAGTAATTAACTTACAATTTTAAATTCAATTTTATCTCATTTCTTTTTAATGCTGAAGAAAGTTTGTATAGTGAGTAGGTGGACGAACATTACTTTACAGTTCATTTGCGGTGACTTCAGAATGTGTGACCGAAATACTTACTCGCAAACGGGTCAATCGCTTTTTGGTTAATTTTTATATAATTTTCTGCAGTCTGTGCTATAACGCATTATGTCATTTGTGAATGAAAGTTGTAGAAATTGCGGAATTTCAAACGTATAAGATAATTCGAAGATCGTAGAAAGTTAAATCACAAAAACCACAAAGATGCATAATTACAGTTATTGATAATGAAAATTTGGGTCACGCTTTCCAAAAATTATTATTGAATGGATTGTAATATTATAATTTTGCAGCATATTATTATCTGAAACGATGTCGAAGAACGGATCCGCAAATAAACGCTTGCTTGCAAAAATCGGCAAATACCTTTATAGCGTACATGAACCATGGAATACCCGAATTGAGGCTGGCGGAACCCGAGCCCCTTGTCATTGATGAAATTGGAATTGCGTTGGGTAATGGACCAAATGGATATCGCGCCACGTTTAGGGATATTAACGCTTTCGGAGTCAGTAATATGACTATTACTGCTGTAAGGTGAGTACTTGGTAACTTGCATTTTGGCTGTTACAAGGTTTTGTTGTTTTAGGTCCGATTTGGATTCGCATCAGTTTCAATTCACGTTGTTCATCCCACACATTTCGGCGAGGGCTAAGTATGTGAGCTCCGGAGTTTTGATTTTAGTTCAGGCATCTGGCGGGGGAGATTATTGGGGAGAATACGGTAAAACTCTTTTAAAATACGGGATAGTAAACCAATTTTGATCTGCAGATGGAGTTAGGGCAAAAGTATACGTAAAGGCTCAACCGGTGACAAGGCAAGGAAGACAGCACCTCACCTTGCAACAAATAAAAATGGACTTTAGTGTGAAAGAGATACAGATGGGCGTAACACAAGTCCACAATGGAAACGCAGTTTTGGGTAAGAATCAATGATATGTCGAACTTGTGGTTATTCGTGAAATTGCAGAGGCAGCTCTAAATTTATTTATTAACTCAAACGCACAAGAACTACTTAAAGAGATGAAACCCGATTTGAAAAAGAAACTGACGCACTTGCTCTGGGGTTTTATGGAGAACACGTTTGAGAGCATTCCTTACGACGAGTGGATTATTTAGTTTAACGGATTTTTTTTACCAGGGATCAGAAGAATAATTTATTTATGGACTGATTATTAAGTTTTACTGAAGATTACCTTAATTTAACTTAGTTAGGAGTAGGTTATTTCATGTTAAAGAATATTTAATAAATTGTCACTGATTAACAGTTATAACAATTTGGTGTAATATAAATAATTATGAATAAGTTTAGTGAACGTATGATGATGACACACCACTGGAATCAAACAGGTGCAGAAACCTAAACACATTCGTGACGTGACGAAAACGTCCAAAAATAATCAGGTATTTTTTTGTTAAATTCAGTTTATTAATATAAATACAAATTGAATTATGTACATAAACATGATTTTTCTTCAAATTTTTGCAAAAAACTGAGGACGGATATAGCAGTCACTGTCCCACGGCACATTTTGGTCTTGTGGAACAGAACGGCTACGGCTGTCGAAACAAGACCACTGAATATGTATGCCCAATACATTATCTCAACTCAAATATATATTGTTTTTACACAAATTAATGAAAAACAAAAAAGTTGTTTCATTTAGGTGCCATGCCACGAATCAAAACAGTCAACACAAAAGGCAGGTTTCACCGGACACCCGCCACAGTAACCCCTTCTACCTCGCCTGAACGAAATTTCGGCAAAATTTCATTCTTCTCTACCTACTGGGACACCTTTTATATGCTCTCATAAGAATCATACCGACGGACGTACGGACTTGCATCGTGACAGCGGAAAGCTAGTTTGAATGCAGCCGAGATAAATAGAAGGTTCGTTGCCCGATCATTGGCATACAACAAAGGGAGATCCAATTTTCTTGTTTCTATATTGTCCAGTTTTAAAGCGTTATCTTTACAAAAAGAGTCGTGCTTTTTTGTACCATTCATCATCATATTTGATAACTACGCGTGGACATCTAGAAGAAATATTAAATATTTTAATTCTTTTAGAATTTTAATTTTAATTAAAAAACAAGGGGTGCATTTTTAAGAAAATTTTAGGAAATAGATGTAAGGCAAATGACGCCACGATATAGAATTTAAATTTCCAGTATTCGTCATAAACGTAACAAATTTGAAAATAAAAGAGATCTAAGAAAAACAGGAATTGGAAATTAGATGGAATTTTGATTAATATACCTACATAATCGATCATTTCATTTCAAATTTGTATTTATTTGTCTGCAATCAAAGCAGAGCGCCAACTCTTAATTTTCAGATTTAGAGAAAAAAGGCCAAACTCCTGGAACGTAAGGGCATTAGAATTTTCGTAGGAGCTAACCGTCGGTTAAGTAATTACTTAGTGTAGAAAAATTTGTCATTACAGTAGAAAAACAATTTTAAATAAATATAGCTAACGAGCCCCTGGGTATGGCTTGGCTTGGCATTAGGTATTATGTGGCTAAAGCTATTCTCATTTTAAATTTCATGCAATTCGTTTCATCACTAAAGAACACGCCAAAAGAGCTTTATTTTTTGGCCTACATTTCCATTTCACGAACTCCGATCTACAAATTTGATAAAGAATCCACCCGCAACATTTCATCGTAATCCGTCCATTCGTTTTTAATATCGTGCTAACGGACGGGCGGACAGACGGACAGACACCGCAAAATTATAAACTCGCTAGGAGCTCGTTAATAATACGAACAAGGGTTTCAAATCCTCTATTGCAACAAGTTGTTACATATCATTTCGGATGAATATTAATACGAGTATAGTGGAATTCATATTCAGATGGCAGCGTTACGGAGAATGCTTTCTCTATGCGAAAATATTGCCAAAGTTTATCAGTTGATCACAGACGTTTGTGTCATGTCGATGTCGAAACGAGCGCAAGAAAAATAAAAACAACGGTGAAGTATTCAATTACAAATACGAACAGTTAGTGATAAAATTTTTTTTTGTATCCATAGCAACGGACACGTTTTCTATTTAAGTAAAAGGAAAGTCCCAATATTGACCTAAACTAATAACTTAGGAGACTCGTTCAATTTCCGAAAATTCCAAAGAATTTGCTACGCAAATTTTGATCAATACCTAAAATAAATCTTGGACACGAAAAGAAAAATCTGACATGCACACTCTATCGTGGTCGCACAATGGGTTCGAATAAACACACAATTGTTTGACAATGACAAAAATTTATTCCAAACCCATTAAATGAAAATTAAAACAACAACAACAAAGAAAGAGAAGCTTAGAAAGCTTGTTTGGACAGATTACCCCGCACGCTAAATAAAAATCTGAAAATCTTAAAATTACGTACAGTTTCACTTTTCTAAATAATCCAGATACTCTGGTCGTGAAAGGTTTGCGATATTCAGGCGCACTTAAACAAAGACGCACAACAAAACCCGCTGGCAGCTTCAGGAAATTTCACTTTGTCTATAAAAGAGCTGAAACTCAATAACCCAAACTAGCTCGATAAACAAGATGAAATAGATTCTCGTCGACTGCTCTGATTTTTTCTTTTTCTTTTTCTGGACTATTTAATAAACTTCTTTCACACAACTTTATTTTTGTTTTGAAATTGGCCGAGGTTTACGCCACTTAATCGTTTCTTTATCATTTGATCCGGGAGGGAGTTGTAAAATGCTAAAGACTGGTGCTCCAGGGATGTGCTGTAAAATGAATGCCGTGGGTATTAAACAAACTTTTCTCATTTTCAGTGTTTTATTTTACGTTCCTTTCCAACTTTACTACAAGTCATAGCGTCACTTACAATTAATGTAAGGGGGTCGTGCCTTAGATATTTGCCACTTTTCTATTTCAAATTTAAGCGAAGTCTGTGTAGTATTTGGAGGGAATTAAGTACACTACAATTTCCATAATAAAATAGAATTATCTCCTGCCTTCGGTATTTGCAAATAATATGCGCTAATTAGATTAGATAAAGGAGACTGCGAAGGAAAGCGTACCCACTTACGCCGAAAATAATGTGCACATCGTTGACTAGGTACCTACATACATCTCTTGTTATCAACACCAGAACACGTGCGTTAATTAACAAAACGTCTAATCGCAAACAACCAGATGTCTTTACATTTTAACACGCAATTTCACGTCTTATAAATAAATACAACAAATCTAAATAAAAAATTTACACAAACGATGCAATTTACAAAAATTATGCAATTACAAACAAAATCAAAAGGAAAAATAACACTGAGACACAAATTCAAGTAAAACGAACCAAACTGGGTTTATTCGAAAATTGAATTTTATTCAAGCAATTTCTACAGATGGAAAACCACATTTTGGCAAATCGATAATAATACTTACACCAACTTTGATTAAATGTGGTGCACTGGTTTCTTTGAATTGCTTTCTGGTGTTACGCTGTAATCAGTTATTATTGGTGAAAATTGTGTATTTTCCCCGCCACAATTAAGTTATGCTACGCGCAGGTTGCGATTAGAAGCATGTTTTCCAAGCGAACACGGTAATGTTTGTACAGCTTTCAATAAAATATATTCGAATCTTAATTTCATTTAAATTTTAAGGAATCGTCATCCAAATTCGGTTTGGCACCATGAATTTTCACCAATTATACAGGGGGAATACATTGTCGAAAAGTAAGAGATATTGGTCTTAAAATAACCATGACACAGAGAATTCGATTGGGTATTCCATTTATGATTTCATAAACTTTTTCAAAGAATTCTATTACAAGATATCGCACCCTTAAATGCATGTGGTCTAGGTGACCTTTGGTATCTGTGAATTTGGTAACATGGGGATAATCAAATACATGAACCACTTTTACCATTTGCAACAAAGTCGATACGTAAAGGATAAATTACTAAAATTAGAAATAATTGTCGGATGTGACTAATCTTCCCGTACAGTAAGAATCCTATAAATCACGATATTTTGAAGAATTAACCGACAATTTAAAAAAGTGCATAGTCATCGATATACTTATTAATTATTATACATATTATTTTCGCATGCATCCAGTCACAAAAGGATTAAATTTGTCTTCCATTTAACGAGTGGCACAGTACAGGGAGGTAAGTACCTCAGAATTCCACTACTAAGAAACACTTTTAAGCAAAATGTACAGCGTTAGACCATTGAGTAAAGGATCTAAGGTTAGACTTATGTTCCTATCACTTATTGTAACGATGCAAAGGTGCAATACAAAGGAATTGCGTAAGAAGAAAGGGGTTTAAGACAATCACATTTTTTTTAATCCTTGTAGCTTCTTTCATTCACGTTTGTCAAAGGGATGATCCAAATCTGGTTGAATGTTTAATAGCATCCGCTGAAGATTTAAGACCGTACCTGGCAAAAGGTAAATTGCACCGTAAAAATGAAGCAGTAAAAACCACAATGGTAGGTATAATACGATATGTCCGCAGGGGTGCCGGAATGCAACATACCCAGCATCGAACCACTTGTAATGAATGAACTAATTTCGGAACAATCGGTTGGCCTTTCTTTAACAGCCAATAATGTAAAAACGTACGGATGTAGTAGTTACACAGTTACATCCTTAAAGTAAAAGGAACTTGTGTGGTTACAGCAGCTCTAAAGGTTGATTGTAGAGTCAATATGGATGAGCAGACGTACGAGTTCGATACTGAGTTTCCCTTACTGAGCATCGAAGCCCAGTACAACGTGTCAGGGAAGCTGCTGATGATGCCTGTCAACGGTGCAGGTCCATTATATGCAAATCTCAGTAAGTGGACAGTTTCGCTCTCCACATGGGTGTTATGGCTATACTACATATTCTGATGTTTTGCAGCAAATTGTAAATCGAAGACTATGCTTAAAGGCGAGTTGTACGACAGGGATGGTGAAACATACTTAAGGTACAAGGATTTATCGCTACACATTCAAATTGGAGGTGGAAGTATAAAGATAGAAAATTTGTTCCGCGGGGACAAATTTATAAGTACGTGTTCAAATTTTCGCAATCTGTAATAATCAAAATGTTTGTAGGTGATATAGTACACGAGAGCCTTAACAAAAATTTGAACGCCTTCTTAGTGGAACTAATGCCAGCGGTGGAGCGCGCCCTTGCTTCGACATTTCTTGAAGTAGGCAACAAAATTGTTCATCCATACACTTACAAACAACTATTTCCGTATTAAGATTTATCTGCTGTTAATAAGTACGCTGAAATTTTTCCTCTCCTTAGCGACAAATGAAGAAATTAAATCTATTCATATTTTGTGCTCTGGATACAATTATCAATAACCGTAGCTGATATGGAGATGGTGTAGCCGAAAGGGGGTGAGGAGGGGGAGGGGTGTTTTTAACAAAAATATCCTGACTCAAATTTAGCATTTTAAGAAATCTTGACCCTTAATTATCAAAGTAAACTACAATATCCCAGTCCTCCTGGTCTGCATTGTGTGCCTAGTTCATTGCTCGATTAATGGTTCACGATTTATAGGGTTGGAAATGTTACCTCCATATCGGTACGCCACTGTTTGTCGGTATTTACCATCGACATACAATAAATGGACTGCGCGTGCCAATGCGAGCACGGATACTGCAGGTGAAAGAGAAGGGAAAACTAAGAGGGCAAGTTGTCTCTTACGGGCGATCGCGATCGCATTCAAATTAAATTGAAAGAACCAATCAGATGCGCAACCGTAAGAGACAGTTTGCCCTCTTAGTTTTCCCTTCTCTCTCACCTGCAGTATCCGCGCTTATCATTGACACGCGCAGTCCAACACTTACCTTTTTTTGCTGCCTATAGAAATACTATTATTTCTAGAAGGTCACAGTCCGTCTTGAAATACAAATAAAAAATGCAATTTACCTCATTTATATGGCGTCTAAATCTACCTCTCTGAGCAGTTCATTCTTGAACAGGTGAATCAGGCTCTAATATAGGATTCGTGAAAATGGTAATTCGTAGGTTGAGTTTACATCATAGCGCGTAACAGAAGGGCCCTTCTCTGGTTACAAGCTCCTACAGAATGTTCACTGTTATACTGCTGATCCGCTCGGTTTTTCTTCTCGAAACTCAATATTGAACGGCTCCTCGAACTTTAACTGACAGACCGTTTCCATTATTTCCCAATACAGGTTCGTCTGATCCGATCTTTACCAACGCTGCGACGCGAGTGTTATTTTGACCTGATCTTTACGACGGTTCAAGGAAACAAATCTTGGAATACTATCTATCCCTCTAAACACTGAGCACTGAGTTACTCTAACGGAATTCAACCCTACAGAATTACAAATAATCAACCCCTCCAAAGGCTGCCGCTACAAATTTCGTTATGTGGTCTTAAATTTGGCACAACGCGTTCTGGTTATTTTTGAAAGTGTATGAGTGTTTCAAAGAGACCACGACGCATTGTAGATGTTTTTTTACTCAACGAGCGTTTTCATTCATTGAGCTTAATTTCTTTTGTGTGAGAAGGAAGTAGTACTGTATCAAAACCGAACTATAATGCAATTCGATTCTCTGGACAGCCTACTCCGGTAAATTCTCTTATCCAACTGAATTATGAGCAGATATACCATCGAACCTCAAAGCAAATTAAACTGGAGGTTCGGTTGGTTTTGGTTTGTAGGTTAGTTTGTTCATTTGTTAACATATACAAGGTGTAACAATGAAGTATGTTAAAAAATTGGGTGGGAGGGATCAAAACATGCGTTTGTGTTTCAAATAAAGTGAGGGTTCAAAATGTTCTACTTGGTTTACGTAAAAACATTACGCATAATGAAGTGCGAGTAGGTTCGATGAAAAAGACGCCCAACTAAAAATGTGTGGGCAATAAGATGGGCTAGCTTGGTCTCGAAATTTTCGGGCGTTCTGCCCATTTCGTATTTTCCGCTCGTCTATAGATAATATAACATTAGAATTTTTGCATTGGAGAATATGAAATACGGAAACTCACGCAGCTACAAAGAGGTCTATCCAATTGCGTGTTGGGGAAAATTTTCCATTTGCGTTTGTTCCGTTAAGCTGAATTGCATTTAAGGTGACATTATGCTTACGAAAAAGCTCAAATATAAAGCGATGAGATTAACGAGTTCGATGCAGTTTGGCTTTTTATTCTTTCGCACTTAGAACTACGATTTGAATGTGGTCGAGATAAGTAAAAGTTGTACCACGTAGAGAAGACACAAAAGTTTAACTGTGTCCTCCCACACGCGATCCAGTTTTTAATTTTTCTTGGAGGGAGCGGTTTCAAGGTATGGCCGTACCATTTGTACGCCAACGATATCTGTAAATTACTTTACTTTCTTTTTGAATTGTATACAGTATTGACCAGCTATCTTTGAGAGTTTGCAATATCCTAAAAGGAACCGATCTGTGGAAATTAATTGCATGTATTGCATTTATTTATTATAAGTGAATCCATACAAAGAAATTTGGTTATTTTTTCATTAGCTGGGATTGCTGGCAATTTGTATTTTATTTAAGTGGTAACATTCCTTTGCAAGGATTCAAATTTTGTGTATATTATTAATGATTTTTTTAAACTAAAAACAAGAGGTTTTTTGCCCGAATCAATAACAAGAGGCAAAATTTGTACGGCAGAACAGATACAAACACTTCCGAAGAATCAACACTGCAGATTAATAATAGGATCACACATGGACGTGGTAAACAAACGCACTGTGCTTGCGTGACGATCCTTGAAATTTAAATTTCTTACTTTCACCAAGCTCCTCTGGCGATTGTATACCGGTAAAAGTAGGAAATAGAGGGTTTTTTAAGATCATTTTCTACTTTTACCAAAGACTCCGGTAAATGTATACAATTACCGGTAATTGTATACAATTACCATATTATGTACCCTTACCGTAACATATAATTATTTCAGAATCAGGATGAAAGGTGGCCATGAGACAGGGGTTATATTTTCTGTATTTATTGGGAATAAATCAATATTTTAAATCATGTAAAAGAGAATTTTGATTCACTTATGCAAAATGGTAATCTTGGTTATACAGTTGGCGTCCGTCCGTCCATCCGTCGGAAGGCGAAACACATATCCCAACATACAGACGACTTAAAGGCTACTTGATGTACGTACAAATTATTGATAGGATTAACATTTAACGATTAAACTAATTCCAAGTGACTTTGGACCACAAGAGGCCAACTCACGGTGGTAGGGGACATCAAACTTAGAAGAAGGGTCAGACGCACTCGCGTAGAATGAGTAAACAACATTAAGTATCCTTTTTTATATATAAATGCCATTATCATGCAATAACAACACTATATTTCTGTGTGCATACTTGTATTAGTGCAGTAGTAGTAGTACAGTATTAGTTTTTCCAGTGCAGATTAGAAGCTGTGACGAGAATAATTTGTAGTGCTTCCAAATCAATTTCAACTTCGTAATACTATGCGGATTATCCATACATTGACGAATAGGTGCTCCACGTGCTCTCAAAGCATTATTTTATTACTTGTTGTATGTTCAGTAGAAACATTAACAATGAGCAAGTGAGTTCCAAATGCTACAAACATTATTCGAATTCATTTTTCAAAAGAGGAAGCTTACCGCCAAGATCGCTTTAACATCTAGCGCATAAAATCCAGCAGCACTTAAGTCAAGAGGTTCGTGAAGCATTTGGTATAATAAGGTGCATCTCTAGAAACAGGAATAGCTTTTCAAGAATTGTATGGTTGAAGAACTCGATGATCGAGTAATCAAAAGAAACTAGATCATTTGATCATCGATTAGCCCTATGAAATAATCGCATAATTTTACTACCTACCTTCTTGCGTAAGACCTCGTCAAAGTATGGAAGTGTGAGATCGCACAGAAGTCTTCCCATGGTGTGACTCTAAAAGACTGATTGTTAGTCCACCAAAACGCTTAGGACACAATGACCACAAAAGCTATGATTAGGTGTTCACGATAGACGATAAACCTACCTCGGTTTTAATTTTCTGACCCAACGGAAGGGTAATTAAAGCGGTTACATTAAAAAGCGCCGTGGTTAGATGAACCTTCCAAGATCCAAAGTATGCCAAACCCGATGACATAACCGAAACGACAATTTCCACGAAGGCCATAGTAATTGATCCAAACGTGGCCCATCCAAAGCACTTGTTAAAGTTATACGTTAACTTGTGAACGGTGTAATGCATTTGGGCAGCGGTTGACAACAGCCTATCGGATGTTTCACGATGGAACGTTGCCGTTATCTCCACTTCCCTAATACATCGATTCATCTGCTGCAAACGTTGTATCGAGATGAATATGAAAGCGTTGTATAAGTAAACAGATGTGAACCGCACACCGAAGAGTATGGCAACATTACACATTAGCATTATGTGCTTCTGAGTTTCCCTTGAGAAAAATCCAGTGGCTTGAACTGAGCCCACAATTTCCCAGATAGGTGCTACTAGAAAGAAAAGATAAAACGGAAACGTTAGGTAAAGCAAGAGAAGAGTGATGTGGAAGCTTTTATAAGACGCTTGTAAGCCGACATCTTTTAGTAGCTCATCTGCATGGTTTATTAAATCCAAAGTTTTTAGAAACACCTTAGTTTGAACAAAAAGCTCAAGGAGTTTCGCCATATTAGTTGCCTGCGATAATACAAATAATGTGCCAATAATTGCGTCGTGGAAGGACGGCGCTTTGTCTTCTAGCGCCAAACGAGCCAGAACGGTTACCAACATAAACACGATGATGACTGCAATATGCATTTATCAAACTGTGATTAGAGTAAATGTAAAAACTTGCCAAGTATGTAGCCAATGTACAGATAATTGTTCTTTTTAAAACGAAATGCGCGTTTATGGTTCACAACATCCCTGGTGTAAGGTGCCATTCCAAAAACCTTAGATGGAAGGTAAAGAGCGTCTATAAGTTCAAAAATGCTACTCGCGTACTTCATGGTGGCGATTTGGTATTGAGTTACACAATGCAATATAAACTTAATCGTAGTGAGTACCTTCAATAACTAATGAGCTATAGTAAATAATATAAATAGTAGTCCATTTTCCTACCCCCAATAAACGATCAATAGTATAAACGGCGAATCAAACTTTTATAAACCCTAAAGTGCAAGATTTAAACCGGTAGGTGACATGTACACATTTAAATGGTATTTTCGTTACCAAAAGGGTACTAAATTTCTAGACCAAGCTGTAACGGTTTCTTTCCTTTCTGCATAAACATTTAAAATTTATATTTCTTTAAGTAAATACCCATTACACATTCCGTGTATTTCTCGGTTAAGTTCATGTAGTTAGTTTTATTGGTACAGTTTTATTTCATAGTTCTTTATTTTCCCGCTAGAAGCCATGGGAATGTACTTTTCTATACAGTGACTCTATAGCGACAGTGTGGTCATAGGGTGGTGTTATTTTCTATTGGTAGTTGGGAGATACGCCATGTTTTGGCCAAATCGAGGGCCAAATACACCGGATTGATAGAAATTCTTCATTTTAGTTCGTTATTACTACCCACATCTATGCTTTTGAAATTACGCAGAACTTGGATGACATTGCGCTTTACAATGGACCCACTATTTTAAGATCGGCGACATTACTTGATTTGTTCCAGTGACCCGCATACCGATTATTTAACCCTGATTTATTGTTCCTGATTTCTAACTGCAAGTATTACGATACCTTTTGAAGATCTCTTGGGAATTGTTTCGATACGTCTGATTTTACGTACATTCGTTTTTGTCGTTCCGAAGAATACGCCTTTCAACACGTCGATTTTATCTACGTTACTTTTGTCGTTACGAAGATTCATTCATGTACCCTGGTTACGTTTCAACTCTTCAAATTACTTTTATACAGGAATTTAGTTATGTGTACTTTGTAAAGTAATTTTCTTTACGTTTATGCTTTTATATATCCCCGATTTGCACGAACAACCCGTTGTGGATCAAAATTTTGCTTTTGCTTTTTTAAAGTTATTTGATTTATTGCTTTCCCTTAAGTTTTGATATCAATAATTTCAGTACGAGTCACTTGATGCGACAAACTAACAATATCGAAATCTCCACGTATAAACTTCGAGTAGGTAATAATGTTGGTATTAAGAAGTAGATTTGCATGGTTAGTGTAGGTAGAATTTCCCTAGTCGGTAATGTAGAAACCCATCCGTCACGTGACACGCTCCAATTTCAATCTTAATAAGATGGCGAGTCCAGGTAAATATGCGGTTTGCTGCTCGCCTATATCTGTAATATTAACTCCAATTACAAATAATTGACGTTAGCCGGATTAAGGGAGAAATTTTAGTTAAACATAATAGAGTTCAACTCACAATTACTATACCTTAACAATTAAGTCGTGTCCTCAAGCCATGTCCTACTTAGACCACTTCCAAATTCCGTGAATTAAATTATTCTGTATTCAATTCAATTAATAAATCATAAATGAAAAGAAATTACCATGAAGTACTGTGTTCATTAGCAGTTCCATCGATATTGCACACTTACTAGCAATAACTAATTAAAATCAACGTGCTGTGCGTCGTAAAGGATTACCTTACCCTATAAATGTAAACACCGTTTCAAAGTTTAAGTGAGCATCAATAAATGATTTTCTTTACCTTTGTGTTCGCCAAAAAATAGTTAAATTTGTAACTAGACCTTTGCTTAGAACAAAGTTAATGAACTATTTCCTTTACCTCATTGATATAGGTATTTGTTTAAATGCGTTACAGGTTTTGAGGTAACTATAGCAGCATTAGTCCGAATCGATCCATTGTTGTAATAATGGGCCTCCTGGATTTTAAGTTTTGCCCAAAACTAAAGATGTAAACCTAAAATAAATAATGCATACAAAACAGTAAGATCAGCTATGCGCGTAATTGTAAATAATAATTCTTTCAGATATTATTGACTGTTTTGTTGAAAGTAATGCAATCAATAATTTAATAATTGGGCCGGGTTAGAGTTGATTTTATCCGGTGGTGGGTTAATTTTTATTTGTTACGATTCTGATATAATTTTATATGAATTTCAGAGTTAAAGTTACGTATAAGGTCGCCATTTATCTTTACGATGGTACCTAACCTTTTTGTTATTCCAGATGTTCAATAAAATAGACCGATGCCAATAAAATAGTTTATTGCACATTTATATATCTCGGAGATTTCGGGACACACAAACCCCATCAAGTGGATCACAATCTTTGAGTCACATATGCGTACCTTTTACATTTTTGACTTAATCTCAAAAGTAACACCATTTTCGTTTAGTTGTTTAACCAGACTTGTTCTTGCAAATGCTACTCCTGGTGTATAAACTCCTCCCCTAAAACACACATATATCAACTAAACCCTGACGAGGTAACTTACTCATATGGCATGTTTTCCGGTTCCGTTAGTAAGACGATTGCTGACATGGTAACGCAAATGCAAGTGAGACCGTATCCTGGATTCATTCCGGAAACGTGCCCAATAATTGATTTATTTGGAGGTTTTCTGAAGCTTGTGTCTGACGCGGACACATTTTCATCCCAACCGACCCCGTGGAATACGATATCGTACGAAGTCCTCTCACTCTTTTCGTCGGAGGGGTTT